AACACAATGCAACAAGTATGACACAAGAGAGGAAGAGACGCATAAAATTACTCTCCCTCTTCCTGCCACTGGCTTGTTTTCTCTTTCAAGCTTCCTCCCTAACCAGCTATTTTATTTTTTTTGGTCTCTAATTTTCCCTAATCTATCGTATGCACATATATATATAAATATATATATATACACGTGGACATGCATCCACATGATGCAGAGACTGATTATAGGGTGAAGAGAAGGAAGCCAAAACACACAAAAATATACACAGAGGTACAAGTCTGCACAATCCCTTAAACAGATCAGGCCTGATAGGAATCCAAATGAAGAACACTAATTGTCCTTTATACAAAATTAGAATATGTGTGGGCGTGGTTGGAAGCAGCCATTTTTGTTTGGCTGTGATCATTCTCATGCAGCTATTGTAGTGCTGCAAAAAATATACAGTGCACTCTGCATTATTTGGCATGCATGTGCACGATAGCCTGATAATCCCATTGATTTGCCATTTTCTCTTCATCATTCAGTCTTAAATCATGTTCAAGTGAGCTGTTTTCTGTTTGGGAAGAGGGTTTCCAAGTCATTTTCAGTTGACACAGACGCTGCAGTTGCTAGAGTACTTTTTTAAAAACATTTTTTGGAAGAAATATGCTGATAGGAAAGTTGTTATTTCTAATAAGTCCAATTACAGCAACACAAAAAGATGATTTGCCCATTCTTAATCCCATGTAGAAAGCTCTGATTGGCTCAGCTCTTTTTATAACCGAGGAATCAGCAGTCAGTGAGCACACACCAGACCAGAAAATCTGAGAAGTGGGCAGCGGTTCAGGCTTCTGGAACAAGACTATGTGAGTGATTCAAAACTCTGTATGGCTCACAAGAACATTCTCAGTCAATCAGGATAATTGAGATGTTTAATAATCTTCAATTCAACAAACTACCCCCTTAGTAGCTTTGTGTGTGGGCAGATATAAACAATGCTGCTGATCAACAAAATAACACGCCCACACTTTTGCATATAGGCTGAAACCTCAACAGATGATCCAAATGGAAAACATCAATATCATCAAAACGTCTGCGAGCTCCATATGTGCAGCTCGTATGCATATCTTGTACAGAAACCATACAGTATTGGAAGCCTTGAAAACATCTTGTTTGAATGGACAGATTGTGTCCAAGCATACAGTAAACGGCCCCTTCAAAGCTGTTTCTGATTAGCGGTTTTCTCTTTTTAAAAGCTCAGAGATGTTATGTGTAATGCAATCTCCTGGCTGTGTCAAACTGCTACCTCAGTGCGTACGCTGTGGAAGACCCCAGACATGCAAACAAAGGAGTCTCTGTTCTGGCTACATGCACCTTTTTCACAGGCACACGTCATGTAAAGGTTCGGGTGGGCATCTCAACGCAGTGTTAAAACCTGCATTAAGGCATTCTGGGTTCTTCCTTCACAATATGTTTGACCATTGTGGAGGTACTGTGTCTTACTGCACTACTCTTCACACAAAATAAACAGAAATAGTAGGAACGAAAACAATGTTTTTTTAACTAACACAGCTGGAAAATACTTTAATCTTAATAAAAATGAGGAACACACTCAAAGAAATATATATAAATATATATATACACAAAATTGTAGGCATATATTCAGCATATTCATTAGATGGTAATCACCATTTCAAATTGATGCAGAAAATGATTTCATATTTGAACCTCTAATTTGTCTGATTTAACTTCAAAAGCAAGCTGTATGTGACAAAGAACTGCACAGCTAATGCATACAATTAAGCATCAATTAAGAATGATTGACGCAAATGCACAGCAAGTAGCTAGAGTAATGAATTTTGTGTGACGTATAAAGAAAATGCAGACATTCCTTGGATGTGGTAGCTTTGACGATATTTATAGTTTAACCTCTACAGACCATTTAGCGGGTTACCCATTGCAAATGCATGGTCTATAAGAAAAGAGCACATGCTAAATTACAGGGAAATATGCATAAACTTGTGGACAAGACAACTAGAATGTAATGATTTTGCGCATGCACTAAATACACCAGGGTTAACCCTTAAAGAAAAAAAACACATGAATTTCCCATAAGGGAACAGTGTTTATGTTGTCAAACTTAAAGGACCAGTTTGTAGGATTTAGTGGATTCTAGCAGTGTAATTGCAGATTGCAGAAACTATGGCGGGCCCAAAACTCTAGAGCCAGTGTTTGGTTTGTCCATTCTAGGCTACTGTAGAAAAATGGGGGTACAACATGGATTATACAAGGCTTATTCTAAGGTAACAAAAACATAAATATTCTTATTTACAGATGATTGCACACTAATAAAAACATATCTATGAATATTGTATTCCATTTCTGCCAATAGATCCTCCTGAATG